GTCTTGATCACATAATGATTGGTACGTTCGATGTTATTTTTCAAGACTTTAGATATGCCCAGAAGTAGTGGGCAACAGTATTCTAAGTGCGGTAACACGTAGGCTTTATAAAGGGGAATCATAACGTCCAAAGGAACTAAGCGCTAAATCCTCAGCATGATTGCCACGTGGGGCTTGAAAGACAAATCCCGATCCAATGTAACGCCAAGAATCTTGAGAGTTGGTTCAATTTCGATGGACGTATCACCGATAAAAAGATTATATGGGTACTGAGATTTCCCCAGTGTCATTGCCTGAGTTTTAGTAGCGTTTACTTGCCGGTAATTCGCAGTGAACCAGCGGGGTAATCTCTCTATATCTTGATTCAGTGTAGATTCTAGTGTGCAGGGCTCGCGTGGGCTATATATTGCGTTGTATCATCAGCATACAGACGTAGGGAGGAAGACCCAGCAGAGTAATTGACATCATTCACAAAGATATTAAAAAAAGCGGACCTAGCAGGTTCCCTTGCGGCACTCCACAGCGAAGAGGCAGCCAGTCTGACACCTTCCCGTTACATTTTACTCGTTGAAAGCGGCCTGATAGATATGACTGAATCAGTTTTATAGCTGAATCGTGAACGCCGTAAGCTTTCAGTTTTGCTAGTAATAAATTATGACAAATCGAGTCAAATGCTTTGGATAGGTCAATAGCGATCACCGCCACATCCTTTTTATTGTCAAAAGCCTGGCGCCAACCATCAGTTAGCTTTAATAAAGCGGAACAGCAAGAATGCCCACGCAGGAACCCTGACATATTATCCGAAAAGACTGGTGTGAACACGCTGTATAATTGATCAAATTGTAGTTTCTCAAACACCTTGGGTATAACTGATAAGACACTAATAGGGCGATATTTCGTCTTAGATGTTTCGTCGCTTTTCTTATGAACAGGGGTGACGTTACTAAGTTTCCATTGACATGGCCACTCGCCTACATCAATACAATAATTAAAAAGTTTAGTCATAGGTCCAGCTATGACTGGAGCGGCAATTTTAAGCAGCTTGGGTGGTATTCCGTCGGGAGCAGGCTTCCGAACGTTTAGATTAGAGAGGATTTCAGAAAGTCGAGCCATACTAACTGGATGAAAATAAAAATTAATTCTGGGTGCCTTCGTCTTAATATCGACAACACTGGCGTTGCTAGAAAGTTCATCCACGGAAAAGGTTAAGACAGACTCTTTAATTGTTGGAGACGTAAAATATTCATTAAGAGACGTATTAGTGTCGGGAACAATTCTGCCGTTTTCAAGTAAACAAATTGAACTTGTATCGATACTGGACTTGCTATTTGGTAGGAGTGGCCTCATTTTTTTCCAGAATAAACCAGGCGAGCAACTAGAAGAAAACAGACGCTGCATCAAAACAGAAATCTTTAACTGACTGTTTTTTCAGAGCTGTAACCTTGTTTCGCTGACACCGGTACCTATTCCAGTTTTCGTTCGTAGGAATTCGGCGGAATTTCTTATACAAAAGATTCCTGATGAGCATTTGTTTTTGAATAGCTGGGTTGATCCACGGCAGGCGATTGCTTTTAAGGTTCACGCGTTTGAGTGGAGCATGATGATCAATAGCTCACACATGTCCAATATACACAAACGGATACGATTCGTCAAACCGATGGTCCATTGGTACCAATGGTAGGATTGGTACCAATAGAAAAGGACGTCATTCCAATGGTTCTGTTGGTGAATTTATATGCATCTCATTAGGGGGACTTTGATTATTTTCCCATGTGACCTGGCTGGGTACAGGGCAATTCCAATGATCCATTGGTACCAATGTTACGATTGGTACCAATAGAAAAGCACCCTATTCCAATGGTTCTGTTGGTGAATATGCATCTCATTAAGGGGACTTAGATTATTTTCTGATGTGGTCTGGCTGGGTACAGGGCAATTCCAATGGTCCATTGGTACCAGTGGTACGATTGGCACCAATGGAAAAGCATCCTATTCCAATGGTTCTATTGGTGCAAAACAAGTTCTCTTTTACACCAAGTAGAAACGCGCTAATAATTATTATGAATATTCCCTGTTCTATAAGCCAACCACGCAATGACAAGTTCGCTTTTACACCAAGTAAAAGCGCGCTATAAGGCTTTCCCAGTGGCACCAAATATCATTAACATCATCGAATGTGTGAGCAATGGGATGTCACTTAAGGACGAAAGAAAAGCTGGCTCATCAAAGTTTTTCATTGATCGATATTCAATACCTCTCACGTTCGGCTCTCGTGTTAGTCTGGTGGTCAAGAACAAAAAGATTTCTATCTTCTGGGAATTCTTCTTTCATTTAAATTCTTCGAGAAAAAATTCTATTGTTTTGACCCTCAACGTGGTGGCCTTGTCACGTGGTTGCAAAAAAAAGTTGAAAAACAAAATCATTTAGAACGTGTTAGTCCTTATATAAGGAGAGATCACTGAGTGAGTAACATAGTCCTATGGAGAGTGAATTCAGTAAGTTTTGTAAATATTAAGCAAATATATTTTTAGTGATCGAGACAAGCACTTTAGTTGCGGAAAGGAGGAGCGGAGAGCTGTTTCATCCTTTTTACCCCTTAACCCTTTAATAGGCATTAATATCTCAATAGATCAGGGGCACTCAACGACGCTTTCCTCTTTAATACACTGAAAACAATTCTACAGCGGCGCTATAGAATATGTATCTGTTCGGTGGTCCTAGAGGAACTTGAGCCTTTTTCGCAACACCAAGGGCTTCAGTATTATTTTCCGGTAAATTTAAGATGCAATTTAACATATTACGAAAGTGAGAATTTTTCTGATTCCTCTCTCTATCACAGTTTTGAAGCTGAAAGCTTTAGGTTTCCTCTTTGGGAAGAAAAAGTGGATGAATTTAGTTTTCTGGGAAGCTGACCACCTACCCCCTCCCCTACGCCAACATTTTGCCCTAAATAAGAACCAAATGTTAATGTTAGCTTAGAGGAGGGATAGGTGGGCAGTTTCCCAGAAACCAAAATTTATCAGAAAAAAAAATAGCCAAACCAGGGAGTGAAATGTGAATAATTAAACTTCATAAAACCCTAGGGAATTTATTACATGAGCTTCGAAAATAGTACACGAATAGAACGGTCATCTATTAATTTTGAATGGTCCTTAGATAATAGGAAATGTTTAGCAATATTTGCTTCTCCGAACATGTATTTTCTCGAAAACCGTCGTTGGGTGCCCCCGATAATTTCTCTGCACTGATCTCTACACATTTTCTTACAGATCTGATAAAAGATGGGGGCATTTGCCGGCTTTTGTAGTGATTTCAACTTTTCTCTTATTTGTGTATTGTTATTGTAAGGAGAAAAACTGATGTTGGTTACACTAAGGACTTGAAGTGTTAAGCGACTAAACCGGTTACTTGTCTTTGTAATAACATCCTCTACATTGACACAGATACTGGACATACAGCTGTGTTTGTTTTTTGCCAAGCTGACAGAAACATCGAAGCAACTTTAGGCAGCTGAGTAGTTCATAAAAAATAATTATTTTATCTCCTAAGAATACAACAAAACAAAATTTTATCAATAAGAAGACATTGAAAGGGAGTTTCCTGCTGTTCTAACTTTATAATCCATCCAAATAATGTTGCATTACATTGACTCTCAACGTTTGTTGCGTTATGTTACAATTACTACCAGCATATTTAACGGTTTGAAATCATTTCCTTTTTTAAGACGGATCCATTAACAAATTGAGTAATTTTAATTTTCAGCGGACAAAAACCTTGTACCAGAATAATTTCAAGCGTATTGCATCCTTTTTTACATTTTTCGAGGATGAAATAAACTCCAAAGAAAAGGTTGTTATGGGTCGAGCCCAGGAAAACAAAGTTCGAAAGCTGTAAATTTCACAAAATGAAACTTTACGCATGACAAGTTTACCTGTGTTTTCTCAATTCCTGTGAAATTTGAAAGTTATATTTCTCGGGCTCTAATAAGAAATTGTCTTTGTTTTTATTACAGATAATTAATTATATCTTTTGTCCTTGAAAAGTGTAAAAACGAATGCGATATGGCTTAAAAAACTCTGATACAAGTTTTTTCTACACTAAAAATTAAAATCACTCAATTTCTTGATGGATTCCGTCTTAATACTTAGCAACTCTGGAACTGTATTTTTTTTTCGTTCCTAACAGAAACATAAGATAAACCCTTAAGACTAAGAAATCTATACATTGATAATTTTCACTTGTTGATTAAGGTTTAACTGTTAAATTAAGTATGCTTCGTTGTCGTCACACCTTCCTTGTGTCGTAAAATGATTGCGTCAGTGTCTCAAACACAGTAACGTGACGTCCAATGTGCGCTATTGTCATGGTACCATGATAGACAAGGTAAGGTAAATCGACGTAGAGTAGTATGAAATCAATTCGCTAATAATCCCAAAATGCGCTCTTGCGTACAGCTGAAAATTGATTGTCGTTCATCCAAAACATAATAAAACGGACCTAAGATCATCACTGTTTAACCAAATCAAAAATCAAGTGCTAGCAGATTCTTGCTAATAGCACAGTATATTTTTAAACGTAAGTTTGTCACTTTTGTTATGAAAATGTTTTGGCACATTCAAGTCGTATTTATGTGGAGACTGTTGGCTTTTCTATGTACCTTTGGGGAGGTGGAGTCAAAACCTTTGTCTACTACCAGAACACACTTTCGCCGGTTGCGATTATTTGATGGAAACGAGGGAATTTCAAATCAAATTGATCGCAGCAACTTATTGAGACGGAATGGTGATCAAGTGTCTGAAAATAGATACAGCAACCAATGGAAAAGAGATGAAAGGACTATTTCCTCGCAGTCATTGAAAACATTTGCAATATTACCAAGGCGTCAATCAGTTGAAAAATTTATACCGTCTCTCAGAGCTAAATCAGTTACAAAGTTTGGACGATCTATTAGACCACAATCAGTTACAAGATTTAGACGATCTATAAGGCCTCAGTCAGTAACAAGATTTGGACGATCCATTAGACCTCAATCAGTAACAAGATTTGGACGACCTATCAGACCTCAATCAGTTACGACATTTGGACGATCTATGAAGCCTCAGTCAGTAACAATATTTGGACGATCCATTAGACCTCAATCAGTAACAAGGTTTGGACGATCTATTAGACCACAATCAGTAACAAGATTTGGAAGATCTATAAGACTTCAATCAGTAACAAGATTTGGACGATCCATTAGACCTCAATCAGTAAGAAGATTTGGACCATCTATCAGACCTCAATCAGGTACGAGATTTGGACGATCTATAAGACCCCAGTCAGTAACAAGATTTGGACGATCCATTAGACCTCCATCAGTAACAAGGTTTGGACGATCTATTAGACCACAATCAGTAACAAGACTTGAAAGATCTATAAGATCTCAATCAGTAACAAGATTTGGAAGATCTATAAGACCACAATCAGTAACAAGATTTGGACGATCTATTAGACCACTATCAGTAACAAGATTTGGTCGATCTACTAGACCACTATCAGTGACAGGATTTGGTCAATCTATTAGACCACAATCAGTAACGAGAGTTGGTCGATCTGTTAGAACACAATCAGTAACAAGATTTGGACGATCTATAAGACCACAATCAGTAACAAGATTTGGAAGATCTATTAGACCACAATCAGTAACAAGATTTGGACGATCTATTAGATCACAATCAGTAACAAGACTTGGAAGATCTATAAGATCTCAATCAGTAACAAGATTTGGAAGATCTATAAGACCACAATCAGTAACAAGATTTGGACGATCTATTAGACCACAATCAGTAACAAGATTTGGTCGATCTACTATACCACAATCAGTGACAAGATTTGGTCGATCTATTAGACCACAATCAGTAACAAGATTTGGAAGATCTATAAGACCTCAATCAGTAACAAGATTTACGAATTAGTCAACAAGATTTGGTCGATCTATTAGACCAGAATCAGTAACAAGATTTGGACGATCTATAAGACCACAATCAGTAACAAGATTTGGTCGATTTATTAGACCACAATCACTAACAATATTTGGTCGATCTGTTAGACCACAATCAGTAACACGATTTGGACGATCTATTAGACCACAATCAGTAACAAGATTTGGACGATCTATAAGACCACAATCAGTAACAAGATTTGGTCGATCTATTAGACCACAATCAGTAACAAGATTTGGTCGATTTATTAGACCACAATCACTAACAAGATTTGGTCGATCTGTTAGACCACAATCAGTAACACGATTTGGACGATCTATTAGACCACAATCAGTAACAAGATTTGGAAGATCTATAAGACCTCAATCAGTAACAAGATTTGGACGATCCATTAGACCTCAATCAGTAAGAAGATTTGGATCGATCTATTAGACCATCAATCAGTAACAAGATTTGGACGATCTATAAGACCACAATCAGTAACAAGATTTGGACGATCTATTAGACCACAATCATCACAACAAGATTTGGTCGATCTATTAGACCACAATCAGTAACAAGATTTGTCGATCTATTAGACCACAATCAGTAACAAGATTTGGACGATCTATTAGACCAATCAATCAGATTTAACAAGATTTGGACGATCTATTAGACCACAATCAGTAACAAAGATTTGGACGATCTATTAGACCACAATCAGTAACAAGATTTGGTCGATCTATAAGACCGATCAATCAGTAACAAGATTTGGATCTATAAGACCTCAATCAGTAACAAGATTTATTTAGACCACAATCAGTAACAAGATTTGGACGATCTATTAGACCACAATCAGTAACAAGATTTGGACGATCTATTAGACCACAATCAGTAACAATCAGTAACAAGATTTGGACGATCTATTAGACCACAATCGGTAACAAGATTTGGTCGATCTACTATACCACAATCAGTGACAAGACTTGGTCGATCTACTAGACTACAATCAGTAACAAGATTTGGTCGATCTATTAGACCAGAATCAGTAACAAGATTTGGACGATCTATAAGACCACAATCAGTAACAAGATTTGGTCGATTTATTAGACCACAATCACTAACAATATTTGGTCGATCTGTTAGACCACAATCAGTAACACGATTTGGACGATCTATTAGACCACAATCAGTAACAAGATTTGGACGATCTATTAGACCACAATCAGTAACAAGATTTGGTCGATCTATTAGACCACAATCAGTAACAAGATTTGGTCGATCTATTAGACCACAATCAGTAACAAGATTTGGACGATCTATAAGACCACAATCAGTAACAAGATTTGGTCGATCTATTAGACCACAATCAGTAACAAGATTTGGACGATCTATTAGACCACAATCAGTAACAAGATTTGGACGATCTATAAGATCTCAATCAGTAACAAGATTTGGTCGATCTATTAGACCACAATCAGTAACGAGATTTGGTCGATCTGTTAGACCACAATCAGTAACAAGATTTGGACATCTATAAGACCACAATCAGTAACGAGATTTGGTCGATCTATTAGACCGCAATCAGTAACAAGATTTGGACGATCTATTAGACCTCAATCAGTAACAAGATTTGGACGATCTATAAGACCTTAATCAGTAACAAGATTTGGTCGATCTATTAGACCACAATCAGTAACAAGATTTGGACAATCTAACAAGATTTGGACGATCTATAAGACCACAATCAGTAACAAGATTTGGACGATCTATAGGACCTCAATCAGTAACAAGATTTGGTTGATCTGTTAGACCTCAATCAGTAACAAGATTTGGACGATCTATTAGACCACAATCAGTAACAAGATTTGGTCGATCAACTAGACCACAATCAGTAACAAGATTTGGACGATCTATAGGACCTCAATCAGTAACAAGATTTGGTCGATCTATAAGACCACAATCAGTAACAAGATTTGGTTGATCTGTTAGACCTCAATCAGTAACAAGATTTGGACGATCTATAAGACGACAATCAGTAACAAGATTTGGACGATCTATAAGACCTTAATCAGTAACAAGATTTGGTCGATCTATTAGACCACAATCAGTAACAAGATTTGGACGATCTATAGGACCTCAATCAGTAACAAGATTTGGTCGATCTATAAGACCACAATCAGTAACAAGATTTGGTTGATCTGTTAGACCTCAATCAGTAACAAGATTTGGACGATCTATAAGACGACAATCAGTAACAAGATTTGGTTGATCTGTTAGACCACAATCAGTAACAAGATTTGGACGATCTATAAGATCTCAATCAGTAACAAGATTTGGTCGATATATTAGACCACAATCAGTACAAAGATGTGGTCGATCTATTGGACGTCAATCAGTAACGAGATTTTGAAGATCTTTGAAACATTAGTTAGTAATAAGATTTTGGTGATTTACTGACTTCAATCAGCAAGAAGGTTTAGATTATCTATCGTACCTCAGTTGGTAACAAGAGTTAGGAGATATGATTAGTTGACATGATTTATAACATGATTTAATGCTGATGGATATTTGCTTAGAATGTCGGGAGATTGCTAGAGTCTTGGAAGCGGTGTTAATAAGTAACCATCAAATACCATGAGCTGTCTGTGAACCACGTATTTTTAACAAGCAAAACTATATAATTTGCTTAGTCTCAGATTGTTCTAAAAAAAAATCGAGGGCATTTTATTACTTTTCTTTACGAATTAACAAGCAAATAAAGCATATTTTATCGTAAATGTTGGCTCTTGTGGTAAACTAGTACGTTTCTGTGCGGTATAGGAGAAAAGAACGAGGAACGAGAGTGAAAGACCGTGCGAAAAGTGGCGCAAGTAAAAGAGCGGGGAGGCGGTGAGGAAGAAAGGAAGGAAGTAAATAATAATTTAAAACAAAGATAAATAACATGGTTCGGACGATCCTTAAGACCTTACTGAGTAACAAGATTTGGAAGATCCATAAGACCTCAGTCAGTTAGGAGATTTAGTGATCTGCTATGCTTCAATTAAAAACGACATTTAGTATTGGGGCAGATGTAGCTGAGAAGCGTTTGATTTTATTCTGTAATAATGTTATTTTACCTTTGACGATGAGAACGAGTCAAAGTCGTTGTTGACTATCTCATTTGCAAGTATTGTTCTTAACAAAGAAAAATAGAAGTGCTTAAGTGGATATACACCAGCTATACAGAGTGAATAGACAATCCACAGCATTTTGTGGTGATCTATTATTAGAAGATTATATTTTCTTGAGCATAAGACGACAGTAAAACTTATTTAGCTGAAAATTTTGTTGTAGGGTTGCAATGATAAATTCCTTGTCGTCGTTTTTTGATGAACATGAAGCCTTAGCTAATAACATCCTGGTAGCTTTTGTTTTAGCCTGTGTACAGACGTCCCCCCTCCCTCAGAAAAAAATCGGGAGAAGAGTCTTTTCTCCCGATTTTTTCTGAGGGAGGGGGGACGTCTGTACACAGGCTACTTTTGTTTCATCTTAAACTTGATTTTATCAAAAGAAGAGTTGCAGTAACTTTGTCACTGTAAAGTGATCCAAAAGCTGCCGGCGTTTCGTGTGCAAACGTTTCGTCAGCATTCGACGTTCTTGGCTTTCAAGGTATATTTCAACCAGGCTTACCTCAAAGGCTTAGGAAAACCGGGCTTTGTATTATATCTTTCATTTCAAAAGCCTAGTAAGTCTGGTTCAGCAATGGTTTACCAGAATTTTGTTGTAAGGGTCAACACGAAATACTGAGTAACTAAATGTAGGACAGAACGTAACGATCTCTTATTGCAAGAGCAACAAGGATTTGGAGGACACTGGCAGATGATCTAAAAGTGGGTTAGGACAATCTGAAGGACTTAATGAAAGTAATGCTGAACTACTTTATATATATCATCTTTAAGCTCAACGTATGACATCGACAACCCGAAGAAATTTTAAAACTATTTGAATGTCTGATCTGCAGTGTTTCAAGGAGTTTAAAGACATAGTCTCCGGTTACCTGTTATTTTTAAAGTTCACTTTAATAATATTATGGATTATTTATTTATTCATATCTCCATATTTTATAGTTTTTGAAACTACAGTTGTTGGCTCTGCTGTTGCGGCCACCCTACCATTTCATTTGTTTTCTTCTTATTTTTTATTTGATCCTTCATTTCTTCTGCACTTTGGCGAGGTTAAATAAAACATCAGCTGCACAGCAAAATCGAGGTGTTATGGTAACACCAAAAAAGTGTAAATTTTTGCAGCTGTGTGAACACCAAATAGGTGTTCAGTTAACACTACTGTCGTGTATATTTACACCAAAATGGTGTAAATATGACCTACATACGATCCTGAATGCGTTTAAAAACACCTTTGCAGTGTTACAGCAACACTGACCTGGTGTATATTTTCTCTATATTGGTGTTTAGTAACACCAAAATTGGGTTAACGTAAACCAGTTTTGGTGTTAAAAACACCAAAAAATATGTCTCCTTTACACTGTTCTGGTGTTTTTGTTACACTAAAAAGAGTAATGATGACACTGAATATGTGTAAAACCCATTGCAGCTGTGTGCACACCAAAGTCAGGTAAATTTACACTACTGGGAATTTTACACTATATTAGTGTAGATCAACACTTCCAATTGTGTTATAACACACCGTTTGAGTGCTGAGCCAACACTATTTGTAACTCATGAAGAAGTCTTAAAAGTAGACAAAGTAACAGCTAGGACAACAACCTGTAAATTTGCTCCCATTTAATTGCTTTACCCTGATAGTAATAAAAACTTTGTTCTCTTCAGAATTCAGTAAAACAGCACGAATTAAAACAAGTGTTAAAAACTAAGAGGGCTGTTCACCGTAGGTCTTTCTTTTCTAAGACGTTTTAGTTTTGCGGAGGATGAGAGCACACTGCATGAGAGAACGATTTTCTCATGTATAACCTTTTTTTAAAAATTCAAATATTAATATAGTCCTATACAGAACTACAGAAGCCGGAGAGATGAAATTTGAAACAACGTGGATCTTCTTTTTAAGAAACGTTTTTGCCACCGTCGTTGTCGTCGTTCGGCTTAGCTATTGATGTGAAAGGCAGATTACACAACAAGTCGTGCAGATTTAATTTTAGTTTGCTTTAATTGCGAGCTTGGAACTGATTCAGTTCATTCATGAGCTGTAATACCTTAGTCGGTATATTAACATTGTCCATTCAAAACTTCTCTCTGGGACAAATGAATATGAGTGTCTGCATTCTTCCGGATATTCTATATTACACACAACATATATTAGAGTGAGCAAGGCGCTGGTATGTCCTCCATTAACCTTTAGAGGGAGATTTCTTTCCCCACTCAGGTATATATCATCTGGGGCTTGCAGTTGCCCCTCAAAGATGATGAAGTGCGTCATTCCCTCCTTGCCGTTCTCGGCAACTTTATTTGCATCAACACCATTCTATAAAGAGGAAAAAAGATGCAAAAGAACACTTTCAATAAATGTGTTTTCTCAACTGCAGCATAATAAAAGTCAATAAATATTGAAATGGAAAGTTTTGTATGTTCATCCAATTCTTCAGATGGCCCGAACCTATTTATATGCACGTTGGGTATGTTTTTGAATCGCGTTTTTCATTTTTGGCATCCTTAATAAAGAATAGTGCAAATTTAAGAAAATGTCGTCTATTTTTGTGTAGGTTTAACACTGTCAGTTGAGATATCAGCTTATGTTTAAAACCGAATTTTTACAAAAACTGTCAAAAACATCATAGAAATCGGTTGAATGGTTCCTGCCGAAAAACGAATTAGGATTGTAGTACAAGCATGAAAGATTTAGCCTGATTAAATGAGGAAATAATGTTTGCCTCATGCTCAACTTAATTCTGTTTGTGAGACTCCTTCACTGAATGAGTCTGTTACTGCCACAGCACTATCTGAAGAATTGATTGATTTTGTTTTATTTTTCATCTGCAAATGAAGCAATCTTTCTTTTTCACGTTCTGTTTGACGCCAAAGTTGGTGAAACTTCTCTTGATTTTTTTTTTTTTGACAGAAGACAGTTTTTCTTCGGTTGTCTGTCTTTTCTTTTTTTTCTAAAACTAGCTCTTCATGAGCGTTTTTCTTTATTTGTTTTATTCCAAGCCTTCTTCGTTTATTTCGAGCTCGTCTCTGACGCCTTTTTGCCTCATCAGATCTTTTCCAACTAAAAAAAGAAAATGCCGCGAATAATAAAAATTTGTTCAAAGGGGCTGGAAGCATTACTGTGAGTGTATTTCCTTTTTCTTAGTCTTTCTTCCGTCCTTTCTCTCTTTTTTGTTTTTCTATCCCTCTTAAGTTTTTCTGATAATTTTAGATAACTATAATTATTACCAGCTATCAATTCATCATGTTCCAAGTAATGAGCGGGCTGGCCTCTCAACTTTGGAGCTAGTTAAAAGCGGAAAATCCAACTTTACATAGCTATGGAAACCCACAACATGATGAATTGAAAGATAAAGGTAAGTTGTTTGGGAATATATAT